CTCATAAGGACGCTGTAGAGACGTTTTGATCAACTCTCCAATTAAACAGACGGTCGGTAGTCGCGACAGTCCTTTTCTTGGTCCAACCAGCCAGACTCAAACCAGCGACACAAAGATACGAGAAGCCTTAGTCGTGATATACAAAGACTCCAGACTCCTAAGAAGGAGAAGGGACGAGGAGAGAAAAAAAGCCCTAAAGAGAGTGACGTTGAAACAGGACGTCGGAACCGATTAGGGCAATAATTGAAGTGCTGGCCAAGAACGTTCAAGATGAGTTGAAGGAGTTTTGAGAATGGGAAAGTCAAGATCACCCAGACAGTCGAAGAAGAAGAGAAAAGTTAATTGAATTCAAAGGAATTCTAAAGAGAATGAGTGAGGACATAGAAAAGGAAAATGAGAATTGGACGAAATTACTAGTTAATATAAGAGGAGATCAATTAAGCCAGGAGAACGATGAGTACAGAAGACTTGTAAATGAAACGGGTTTTTTACAATTAGTGGTAGAAGGTAAAAGGGTAATAGAAAGAATAAACGCTCAGATGGAAAAACAAGATCATATGGATTCAGATGAATGGTCGAGAGCAGGCCGTAGACAACCGGAAGTATACCCAACTAGACCAAAACTTCCTGAGATCAAGCTACCTAAGTTCGATGGGAATCTAACGAAGTGGCTTAATTTCTGGGATCACTTTCATACAGTTATACGTGACAATCCTAGTATACCCGTCATTGATAAGTTCCAATATCATTTTTGGAAGGTAAAGCCAAAATGGCTGTCAAATGCTTACCAAGACGTGAAGACATGTATATGAAGGCCTTAGATATTCTGGAAAGAAGATTTGATAGGGAAATCTCAAGTCATCAAACGCTGTGTCAAAGATTAAAAAGCTTACCACCAGTGAGTGAAGAAGTTAGTCTGAGATTTGTTGTTAAAGAAGCGGACCATGTTATTCAGCAGACATGGTTCTAGAAGATACGGTTGATGAGATAGCAGTAACGACAATCTTACAATAGAAACTACTAAAGGTAATCGCCTTTGAACTCTCACGACTCGAGCTAGAAAAGATGGATGCGTGGAATACACGTATGATGTTAAATAAATTATATTTTATGCTCGAGGCCAGAGAGAGAGTAGGGTACAATACTTCTGCTAGTTTTCGCAGACCGGGATATCAAAGGGGTTTTGAAGCTCGTAGACCTCAGCCAGCGTATGCCGTTATGGAAAAATGTAATAGACGAACTAAACAGCCTTGTGTTTTTTGCCGAGGTGAACATTTCAACAGTAACTGTAATGTTTACAAAACGTTAGGCCAGAGGAAAAGAAGGGCGTACGAATTAGGATTATGTATTCGATGCTTAAGAACGGGTCATCGATTTAAAGATTGTAAAATAGTTAAGATTTGCTATTATTGTAAGAAGTACCACAACAGCGCCTTCTGTGAACGATTCGGCAATCAACAAACCTTCTTCAAACTTCAAATGGTGACGTCACCAGAGACTTCCGAAGAAGCTAGCACACAAGTTACAACAATAGAGACTGAGTATACTTTAAGCAAAGATTTTTCAGAAGTAATATTGTCAGTTACTAAGGTGAAGGTAAGCAATCCATCAAATGAAGCAGTAAACGCGGAAGTCTATGCTTTGCTGGATAGCGGAAGTCAAAGAAAGTTCGTCACGCATAGGTTGGCAATACAACTCCATATCCTTATTCCGGATAATGACAAATTGATTCTTCATACTTTCGCAGCACAGGAGTCAACACGTTATATTTTACCTAGAGCCGAGTTATATCTACATTCAACTGACGGGGTACTAAAGACATTCCGATTAAACGTTATCAAGAATATGACTACACAGTTAAGTACGCGCGTAACAGAACTAACGTCAGTTGGTCAATCAGTAAAGCCCAACATCTTAATTGAACTTGATTATTTCTGGGAGTTGGTAAGTCTAAGATTAACAAAAACACGGGACGGATTCTACGTGGTTCCAAACAAAATGGGTAAAGCAGCCACGGGCAAGCAAACAATCGAGTCGAACGAAAATATTGTTACAAATAATGTAACTGCTTGTTATACACTAGCAGATATAATAACGCAATTTTGGGACCTAGAATCAATGGGAATCAAGGAATCAGCAAAGTCTAATGATGAAGATGAAGCATTGAAGCAGTTTTATCAGACGTTAGAATTTAGGGATAATCGTTACGTCGTTGGCTGGCCGTGCAAAGAACTCAAAAACATAGATTTAGATAATTATCAACTGTGTTATTATCGCTTGAAGAGCGTTTACGGTCGTCTACTACGAGAGCATCTTCTGGATAAATATGACGACATCATATAAGGTCAACTATCGGAAGGGATCATTGAGGAAGTCAAAGATGACAAAGAGTATTCTAAGGTTCCATATCTCCGTCACCATCCAGTAATAACACCAGGTAAGCAGACCACGAAAGTCTGTATCGTTTATGACGCTTCGGCTGAAACGGGGAAAAACGCATTGAGCTTAAAAGAGTCTTCATAAAGATCCAGTTATATTACCAGAATTAAGTGGGATATTGCTACGTTTCCGTACCTTTACTTCTGGAGTCGTTTCTGATATCGAAAAAGCTTTTTTTCAGATTGAATTACACGAACATAATAGATACATGACACGATTTTTATGGATAAAAAACAAACAGAAAGGGGTGTGTCGCGTCACTGTCGCGTAACAAAAAGATCGATCTTATCAAAGTTAGCACAAAATTGTGACCCTTTGACTTTTTTAGCTCCATCTAATCTAAAAGCAAAATTACTTGTTCAGTCATTACGGAAAGGATCATTCACTTGGGATGAAGGATTATCAGAAGAAGTTCAACGGGAATGGAACGAAATACAACGATCATGATGGAATGATGTAGAATAAATAATTCTACCGAGAAAGGTCACAGATAGAGGAGAAGAAAGTGATTGGGGATCACATGTCTTCGTAGATGCTTCAGAGCGGTTATACGCAGCGACGCTCTATCTGAGAAGTAAGATCGGAGATAGTTACCATGCTGAATTGATATTCAGTAAGAATAGATTATCACCGATAAAAGATATCTCAGTACCTAGGCTAGAGTTATTAGCCATGTTAATAAGTGTGCGTGCAGTTCAATATGTAGAAAAGGAGTTACAGCTACCGATAATGAGGAAGGTTATATACACTGATTCCAGATGCGTCCTAAACTGGTTTAAAACTTCAAAGATATTAACCGGTTTTGTCAGAAATAGGTTAAATGAAATCAGACAAGTTAAAGACATTGAAATGTGATATCTCACTTCTGAAGACAATATTGTTGACCTAGCGACAAGAGCCTGTATGCTACGAGAATTATTACAAAATCAGTATTGGTAGAAAGGACCAAAATGGTTAAATTAGACGGAAGAAGTATGGCCAAATGAATTACATTATACAGAATCGGAAAATGGAATATGGCAAGACGAATATCAAAACGAAGTGTTCTATATAACAGAAAGATCTCTTTGGATCACGGTAGCAGATTATTCGAATTGGTTTAAGCTACTAAGAGTAGTAGTATACGTATTACGATTCTCAAAAACAAAGGTATGGAGAAAATTATCTGATGCTTTGAAAAGGAAGTGCCCTGTGATATCTTTGATCTTTAGATATATAAGAGAAGATAGTTTCATAAGCGCGAAAGAACAACAAAGTGCAGAATATCTCCTAGTTAGAATAAAACAACAATACATATTCAATAAGCAATTCATGGCGGTAGCAAAGGGAACAAAAGAGAAACTGAAGGACCAGTTAAGATTATATGAGAAAAATGGTATACTCAGATGTGCCGGACGTTACAAAAATTTATCATTAAAGGAGGATACAAAATATCCAGTATTAGTAGCTCATTGAGGACAATTAGCACGTTTAATTATAAACGAAGCACACATAAGGACCATGCATATGGGACTTCAAGCTACACTTACTGAGGTTCGACAGAAATGGTGGATAACGAAAGGACGTGCGACAGTAGAAAAGTGCTTAGAACAATGTATAATTTGTAAAATATATCAAGGAAAACAGTGCGCTCCTTTGAATACGCCACCACTACCGGCATTTAAAGGTAAACCTTGTAAGCCGTTTGAAATAGTAGGTCTAGACTATTTCGGTCCCATACCAGTTAGACTTGAGAGAAATGAAAAGACAGCGATCAAGCGGTCGGTTTGTATTTTTACTTGTATAGTAACACGAAATATTCATTTAGAAGTGGCACACAATATGACAACAACAAGTTTTTTAAACAGTTCTAGAGGATTTACTGCATTACGAAGTCAACCGAGGATAATCTATTCTGACAGTGCAACGCAATTCAAAGCCGCCAGTAAATTATTAATTATGGAATAAACTAGTGGCGGATACCCAGGCGAGCGCTTATTATGCAAATCAAGGAATTACTTAGAAATTCATTACAGAATACGCACCCTGGCAAGGTGGATATTATGAGAGATTAATTGGTGTTGTAAAGTCAGCATTGAGTAAAACAATAAGACGTAAAATATTGAAGTTTGAAGACTTTAGAACGCTGATATATGAAATTGTAGCTATAGTAAACTCCAGGCCATCGACCTATGTATATGACGAGGTGTCATCCACTATAAAACGCCCTATGGATTTTTTGCATTGTAGTGATCCGACTGGTCTTGCACTAGTAGGAACCTTTGATGATCCAGATTACGTCCCTCCGCAAGAATGGAAAGAACTGTTCAATTTGTATAAAGCCAATATGTTATTTACAGAAAATTATTGGCACCTCTTAAAAAAGACGAATATTTGTTAAGTCTTAGAGAGCGCCAAACAATGGTACACAAAGAACAAAGACAAGCAGAACAAAGAGTACCACAAATTGGCGATGTAGTTCTTGTTAAAGAAATTGACCTCAGGCGAGAAGAATGGAAACTAGGCAGAATAGAGAAGATCACAATGCGACACGGCTACATAAAAGCTGTTACAGTTTTTACCAAATCACACGTCTGTTGAGCGGCCGCTGTCGTAGCTTCATCCGGTGGAATCAACGTCGGTTTAAATAGTTGTGAAATCTCAATTTGGTACATTTCCAATTTATTCAATTTCTTGCTTTAATTTTGAAACCTTATATTTGAATAGATGTATAAAATTAAATTTTAATTTAGAACATTTAGTCTTGTTATTTTTTTTGAAATTTGTTTAAAATTTGTTTGTTTACATCGCGAAATTTTTTCCTTTTTTTTATCACGTGCAGAGTGTCTCCAGTCTTTTTTTTTCATTTAAACTATTTTACACTTTACTTTTTATCTTCGGGGTGTTCTTGGAGTTACTTTATAAGCATAATATGCCATCAATTCCATCTTGGTTTGACACTGTCTAACTTTTGAAACCAGGGATTTATGTTGTATCTCAAGTGAAGCGAGCTTACAACATCTTGGTTTTGGATGTTGATAACCAGGAAAATGACGATTTTCTGAAGGAAGCAGCCGTTTTGGTGCAAATTGTGACGAAACGGGTATTGATTCCAATGGATCCGATTCTGGTAAGATCATCCCAGTTGTGTATTTTCGAAAGGAAGCAAGTGGAGTTACCACTTTATGGGCAATTAAAGATTAAATCCTTTTTGTATTAAGGGAAATTAAGACCAACCGCTCAGACTACGGACTACCATATCATCTCTCAGGCTGAATCCTTCATGATTCCCGCTATTGTTCAGTACGCTAAAGTTGGGCCTTTTACAGTTTCGGTTTCAGCAAAGGGTGTTATTGGCGAAGAAGGGGTTTATGAAGAAAGGGTTCATGCAAAAAGACTGCCTGGGGCAGGAGATATTTGACAGGCAGAAGTAGTTGCATTGCCACCAGAAAGATTGGAACTGGAAGCGGCATACCAGAATGTTCTGCATACTTACTACCTACCCAAAAAATTTCAAGAATTAGAAGCTGAAGGCCATGTTTAAAGGACGCATGGAGTCTGGGCCAGAAGTCTTCATGAATCGGCTTACACCCATAGGGAGGGGAATATCCCCCAAAGGGTAAGACAAGTTGGCCATCAATATTCAGATCAAATCCTCGACTACGAAGATTTAATTACTGCATCGGCCGTGTACGCCAAAGAAAGAATACGAACCAATTTTTGGACTCGTAGGGCGTCGCCGAGACAAGTGAAGATCAAGGTGACCAACCAGAGTAAGTTAATAATTGCGGAGTTAACTTTTTTCGTTCCGTTCGATGTGCAGAATCCGCAATGCAGTAGATTATTAGCGTCGAGGCTACAGTACTGGAAGGAGGGTAATGAAATGAGGCCAGAAACGCAGTCCTGGAGCGCTCGATTCTATAGGAGCGGTATGAAAATGGTAGTCCAGAAATTGAAGGTTGATGATTACAACAACATTATTCTTGAGGCGCGGATGGATAGCGACCAGGTGAGGGTAGCAAAAGACCAAGCCCCAAAATTTATGAAGCACAATGACTTAACCGGCATTATTATTTATCCGGATATGGACAATACCGGTTATGAAAATATAACGAGGCAGTTTGTTTTGAGAAGATTATCAGCGTCTTTGGCGGATAGTCATCACCCTCGCCAGAAGGACATTTTGAAAAAGCTTATGCAGTTAAAAGATAGTCAGCAGATGGAAGTGGACTTGCCACCATCAGCAGGAATTCAAGAAGAGACTCACGAAAGTGTCGATATTGAAATCCAAGGCGAAAGGAGACACGTGACACGGGAGCAAGATCAAGTAATTTGATTTTTAGATGATATTACAAGAGTCCTAGGTGTAAAAGCGCCAGTCGGCACAGGAAGACCCACGTGATCGCATTATACCTTTTAAAATTGATGAAAACGTTAAAAGGAACTATGCTAGTAACAGCTGTTACAATTTTAGCGGTACAGGAGATCACGGAAAAGGTATTAAGTAGATATGCACCAAAGACTGACAAAATATTGTTTTACAATCAGTTGCAAATGGAATTTTGCCTCAGGAAACAGGCAAACAGTTGTGGAAAAAGTGTCGGATTCCAGAGGTTCTGCAAGCCTATGCTGATGAAAAGGTAGAGGAGGCGAAAACAAAATTTGTGAATCAATATTTAAGAAGAAGATTACTCTACGATGGGAATCCTTACCATAAACGAGAGGCGCTCTGAACCGCATTAGAAATACAACAACCAAAGTTGATTTGTGGCACAGGGCTAATGATACGAATGTTGTTAAAAGTTTGGGAGCAAAATTTTGACATGGAACAATTGAAGTATTTGGCTGTCGATGAAGGAGACTTGTTGCTTGAGATGTTTTTTCATGGCCATGATAGCCAATTTGCCTACTATTGAGAGGATTTTAGTGACTGGCGATCAGTACCAGCTGCCCTCTTATTCAAGCGCGGTCCCGGGTAAGATCATATCTTTGCGGCACGAAGGTGCAATCGAGAAGCTCATCGGTAACTCAGTCTTCAGGTGTGTATCTTTAAATAAAAATTTCAGGAGTCATCCAATTTTGGTCGAGGCATTATCGGTAGCCTCGTATAACGGACAGTTAGTCCCGGAAAGAACTTCAGAAAAACGCCACCAGTGGAGAGTGTTAGGCTTTCCGACCCCGACTGACAGTCTCCCTGTTCTTACGCTGCAAACGACCGGATGGAAACAACTCACCCTGGAGAGGAGTTGGTCGAATGACCTGCATAACGAAGCAACCTTAAGATTAAGAAGATTTATCGTGGACAAAATCCCATCAGCACCAGTAGTCCTTTCGTGTTACTATTCGACTTCGGTTGCAAGAATTACTGCACTGGACCCTGAGAGTCAAGTATTTAGTATTAATCGACACCAGGATCGCGATTGCGATTCCGCGATCATAGTTACGACACGGATAACTCAGGAAAGCGTTCGGCAAAATGTTGATTTTGTCCTCGACCCTTGACGGACAACAGTCGCGTTGTCTAAGGCACAAGAAGGGGTCTGTATCGTCGAAGATATGGAACTCATAAGGCGATCCAACGTATTGAGACGATATATAGAACAATTCCCAGCGTCTTTCAGTAAATCAAATTTATTTTATGAATGGATAAAGAGATACAAACATCAAAAATATGACCGAAAGTCTTACTTCAGTTAGAGGTAAGTTATCTTTAAATAAGCATAGTAATCCAGTGTTTCTTAAAAAATATTTTTTTTTGTGATTGTTTACTTTTTAACTCAATTAATTTCAAACATTTATTTTTTTTTTCTCTTTCTTTATCACTTATTTTTATTACTTCTTCTTTTTGGATTGCAAATTTCTTACCTTTCATCTCTCATTTTCAGGGATAAATGCATTTTTTATTTTTTGTCTTCTTTGTCTTTCATCTTTAATTAATCTTAATTTTTTATCTTTCTTGTTTGTTTTGAGTTAAACTTTATTTTTCATTTTTGTTTTTATTTTTATTCTTTCTTTTTCTTTCAAAACCCTCATAAGAGGGACAAGATTCAACGCTAAAAGAACCAAAGCTTGGCAAACTATGGACATATAGGGAATTAACAAAGGAAAGGGTACAGATGACCTTGTAAATTGTAAACAGTCCTATGTAAGTGATATTACTTCATTGTATATGTTTATTCTTCTCCTCTTCGTAGTCATACCTTCTTAATGATAATGTTTTAAGTCACTTTTCTAAAAATAATGTTCTCTTTGCCTAGGCGTTTGTCCGTCCGCTCCGCCTGGAGTGTCGCGACGGCACGCGAAATGGCCTCAAGGGTCGAAGACGATAATGGACCAGACATGACCCTAAGAGGAAG